CGTCAGATGATTTCAGGAAGTCCTCAGGAATCGTTGAACCCCTTGGATCAAGCGTTAACGAACGTCATTCAGAATCTTATAGTAATCGACGAGAACATCACTTCGACAACTTTTTCAAGAACGACGAGTAACGAAGATATCATCAACGAAGATCATGCTACGAACGATCCCGAGGATAGACGATTGTACATCAAACCCTGGACCACATCTAATTCAGTGTTACCAAAACTGAACGAAGATACCAAAGAAGTTCCTATCGTTGACGTTCAGCAAATAGAAAGTGAATCATCGAACGATCTTGCGATAACGACAGAAAATGCAGACGGTGAGAAAGCAAAAAGCGAAGAATCCCCAAAGTCAATAGCATGCCACACACTTAACGTAACAAGTACGCAGCCTGTGTTCTCCATCGGGCCCTTCCCACCGTCCATCGTAACACCCTCGACCGTGAAAAACGTCCAATTCAGCGATCCGTTGATCGTCGGCCCATCTAATCGATTTTCTGCTCCAGTTTTCGGCGCGTCGCTGACAGACGGTCAATTTCCATCGACGTTTAACACCCCCGCGAGTTCCGACGCAGAATTCACGGTAAAACATGGTACCAAGATTATGGAAAACGTCGATTCGGATAACGTGTCCGTAGAATCCTCCTCGAGCTTAGAGACGATCAAAGAATGCCCCGTTCCTTCGAGCTCATCGGTTGACAAAAAAGAAATTAGTTCTGCCGAAGTTGATTCTTCGAAACAGGAAGAGAAGAAGCTGCCCATTGGTAAAATTAGGACACCAGAGGAAGCTTTGGCTGCCAGGGAAGACAGGTTGAAAAGACTGGAAGAGCAAGCAAAGTGGCTGATGAACAAAATGAACGCGACTAGCAGAAGAGGGTCTGCATTGAGTACCAGGTTGGAGGAGCTTCACGAAGCTTATGGAGAGCCTCCGGTGCCTCCTCCCATGCCGGATGTCCTACCCAGTCGCAGGTTGAAGACTAGTCTGCCGGATCTACCTCGCCAGGTAAATTTATATTCCAAGGAATGATTTCCCTTCGATCAGTATTTATTCACTTTCATCTCATTTAACAATAAATTTATCGTGCATTATTGTTAACGAAAAAATATCTCGGAGTTGCTGCATTCAAATGTAAATAATATAAATA